ACCCAGGCTGGAGTGCAGTGGTGCGATCCCGGCTCACTGCAACCTCCGCCTCCCAGGTTCAAGGAATTCTCCTGTCTCAGCCTCCTCACTAGCCAGGACTATAGGTGCCTGCCACCACGCCCAGCTAAATTTTCACTTTTAGTAGAGACAGGTTTTACCATATTGGCCAGGCTGGTCTCAAACTCCTGACTTTGTGATCTGCCCACCTCAGCCTCCCAAAATGCTAGGATTACAGGTGTAAGCCATCACGCTTGGCCTTAGGCTTAGCATTTTTAAACAATAGATACTTCTCATTTCATACAGCTTCTGACAGTCAGAAGTCAGGGAGAGACTCAGCAGGATGATTCTGACTCACAGTCTCTCTAATGAAGCCATAAGCCAAGCTGTGGGCTGGGGCTGCAGTCATCTGAAGGGTTGACTGTAGTTGCAGAATCTATTTCAGTTCAGTTACTCCCATGTGTTACTCAGTAACACACATAGGTGTGTTCAGGACATAGCACCTGGTTTCCCCTGAGCAAGAGGGCTGAGCAGCAGAGACTCAGATACCCACAGTACCTTCTCTCAAATAATCTCAGAAGTAGCGTACCATCACTTCCATTACACTCTATTGGTGGCATAGAATAACCTGGTATACTGGGGGAGGGGATTGCACAAAGTGGGGGAATTTCACAAGCCCAGATCCTTGGGGGCTGTCTTGTTGGCTGGAGAACACCATTGAGTCTTTTTTTTTTTTTTTGAGATGGAGTCTTGCTCTGTGACCCAGGCTGGAGAGCAATGGTGTGATCTTGGCTCACTGCAACCTATGCCTCCCAGGTTCAAGCGACTCTCCTGCCTCAGCCTCCCTAATAGGGGGGACTACAGGCCTGCACCACCATACCCAGCTGATTTTTGTATCTTTAGTAGAGACGGGGTTTCACCATGTTGGCCAGGCTGGTCTCGAACTCCTGACTTAGTGATCTGCCTGCCTCAGCCTCCCAAAGTGCTGGGATTACGGGCGTGAGCCACCATGCCCTGCCAGTTTTGTTTTCTATAAAATAGAGATAGGGTCTTGCTGTTGCATGGGCTGGAGTGCTGTGGTACAATCATAGCTCACTGCAGCCTTGACCTCCCGGTCTCAAGCGATCCTCCTGCCTCAGCATCCTGAGTAGCTGGGAATACAGGTGTGAACTACCATGCTTGGCTAACTGAATATTGTAGGTTTTGCTGTGTTGACCAGGCTGATCTTGAACTCCTGGGCTCAAGTGATCCTCCTACCTCTGCCTCCCAAAGTGTTAGGATTACAGGCGTGAGCCATGGCATCCAGCTGAGTTATTTTCCCACTTGAAGCATAGGATATACATCCAGAGGGCACCTAAAAATGTTCTGAGCTGGGCCGGGCGTGATGGCTGATGCCTGTAATTCCAGCACTTTGGGAGGTCAAGGTGGGTAGATCACAAGGTCAGCAGTTCAAGACCAGCCTGGCCAAAATGGTGAAACTCCGTCTCGACTAAAAATACAAAAAATTAGCCGGGCATGGTGGCAGGTGCCTGTATTCCCAGCTGCTTGGAAGACTGAGGCAGAGAATTGCTTAAACATGGGAGGCGGAGGTTGCAGTGAGCCGAGATCACACCACTGCACTCCAGCCTGGGTCACAGAGCAAGACTCTATCTCAAAAAAAGAGAAAAATGTTCTGAGCTGAGCAAGAGCCCGGAGACAAGTGAGTCTGAATGTTCCTATCCTCTCCAAAATCACATAGTTAGTGTCATTCCCCACAAGGACTGCATGAGCTGGGATAGCCAGAGGGCAATGGAAGATCTGGGGCTCAGGGGCGCCCCCTGCTGTCTCCCCAGGGTCTGTCCCCTTCCGCAAGAGCCTCTGCTCCCCCATTTTCCTGTGGAGCCTCCTCACCATGGGCATGACCCAGCTGCGGATCATCTTCTACATGGCTGCCATGAACAACATGCTGGAGTACCTTGTGACTGGTGGCCAGGAGCTTGGTGAGGCACCGCGGAGGCCCCTGGGGGTTGGGGGCACTGGAGGTCACCTTGGCTGGGCCCCCCTCACCATACCTTACCCTACCCACAGAGACGAAGGAACAACGACAAAGGGCCACAGAGACAGGTAGGGTGATGAGAGCTGGGCCCTGGCCCACACCTACCCCACTGCAACCCACTTTCCAGAGGGTGGGAGTCCTCTAGACGTGGGCCCACCCAGGTAACCCTGGGCATCTGGGGGATGTAAGAGCCTGAGTTCAGAGGAAGGCGATTTTGGTGCTCTCTGGCCTCCGCTGGAAGGGGTGGTGGTGCCCACTGAGTGCCAGTTCCTGACCCCACTGCCCTTCCCCTCCTGCCCAGTTGGGTTCTACTCCTCCATCTTCGGGGCCATGCAGCTGTTGTGCCTTCTCACCTGCCCCCTCATTGGCTACATCATGGACTGGCGGATCAAGGACTGCGTGGATGCCCCGACGCAGGGCACTGTCCTCGGAGATGCCAGGTGACCTGCCAGCACAGGGCTGGTGACAGCAAGTGGTCAGGCAATGCTTTTCATTTTCCCTGTGCTTTATATCCAGCATCTCATTTCTTTCTCCCAGAAACCTAGCAGAGCAGGGGTACCTCTCCATTTTACAGATGAGGAAACTGAGGGTAGAAAGGGACCTGGCTTGCTTAAGAATAGCTAATGCGGAGTGCTGACTGTGCACTTGGCACCTTGCCCTGTTTAGGCCTACAGGACTTCTCTGAGGTAGGTGCGTTCATATCTTCATTTTGCAGATGAGGACACTGAGGTACAGGGTTGCACAGTGAAGTCACTCATCCAAGATCACACAGCTTTTAGTGGCAGGCTCCGGACCTGTGTTATCAGGGTACACTCCAAAGTCTTGTTAGACTTGCTGGAATAGAGTTGGTATATTAGATATTTATTGCTGTATAACAAATCACCCCAAGGCTTGGCTTTTTTTTTTTTTTTTT